GTGCCCGTTTACCCCAACGCGGGGCGCCTGCGGCTGCTCCAGCTGCTGCTGCTGCTGCTGCTGCTGCTGCTACAGCTGCTGCTGCTAATAGAAAATACATGCTTCTGTTTTTTTATGTCTGCGTGTTGTTTCAGCTGCAGTCAGTTGACACTGCAGCAGCCCCGCTCCCTCTGCTCCTTCTGTTCTTCCTACTCCCTCTTCTGTGCCGACCCCCACTACTTCTTTTGCTCCCTCTACTTACTCCACTCACTTGTTTTGCTCCTTCTGCTACTCCTGGTCACTGTGCTCCCTCTTTGCCCCACGATCCCTCTACTTCCTTCTGTGTGAAGCTGCTCTGACCGATGCTGCCACTGTTACTGCTGCTGCCACCACTGCTGCTGATGCTACTGTTGACATTGCTACTGTTAGTGCCGCCGCTGCTGTCTCTGCTGCACAGCTGAGGCGATAAGAGTTTCTCTCTCTGTTCAAAGCAGATCAATTACTTTTACATCACAAAAGCCTCTCACAAGGTCAGACAAGGACACAAGGAAACCATTAATGTGAGGTAGAAGAAGAGACGCTGTTCTTCATCCAATTACTCAGAGGATAATGATAAAAAAAACCTCAAAGACGCAGGGTGAAAGAAAGGAAGAGTGATAGGGATGTAGGCTAGTAGGGTTAGGTACGCAGGAAGGAGTGAAGGAACGTAGGAAGTGAGAAAGATCTGGTGGACAGGAGGGTAGGTGTACGGACGGAAGAAAGAAACGAACAAGACGAACAAGAGGGAAAATAGAAAGAAAAGAAAAAAGGTAGGAAGGCCGGTGTGTAGGTAAGAGAAAATAAAGAGGATGGGAATAATGAATAAGGACGGGTGAGGAAGGAGCGGAGGAGAGAAAGAAAGAAAAAAGAGCCTACAAAAAAAAGAATATCACTGGAAAGATTCCTTCACGTGTTTTAAATGAATTCAGGACTCCTAAATGAGAGAACTGATGTCTGTGTTTGTTCTTGGTGCATTTTCTAATGAATCACTGGCACTGTATGTTGGCAGACTGTACAGACTCTGACAGCAACATAAACAATAAGTAGTGAATACTTGTCTGTGCTCACACTGATGCCCTCTGGACAATTAGTCACCAGATTCATATTAGACTGAGTGTTTTGACTTCTATTTCAACTACCAATTAAATCTAATAAATGAGTTCTGTTTGTTTATATTTAAAAGACGGACCAGAACCATCGTTAATTAATCCAGAACGACGTTAGCTCATTTATCACAATAATCCTGTACACATTTGACGGCTGCTGTTATTGTCCTTCTTCCTCCTCCTACATAGTGTCTCTACCACTGAGGATCAGAAGGAGGCGAGCGCCAACGACAACAGCACCGTCTTCACTAGGATTCTGGACGGACTCCTGGACGGATATGACAACCGCCTCAGACCAGGGCTTGGAGGTTTGTCATCCCCACCATTTTATTTGATCTATCTTTTTAAAAGACTGATTTAAGGACCCTGGAGGTAGTACATTTTTCCAGTGTACTATACAAACAAATCAATAGAGAAGGTAACAGATTTTTCTTTATGGGGAATGATGGATGAATGGATCGAAGAGGGGATATATACGTATATGTGACTGTCTCCATCACAGCCTCCTTTGTTCAGGTAGAACAACAAGAGGAAAATAACCTTGGGTTTCATCAGTTGCCTGTCAGACAAACAGTCTTTGTTTCCTACTCTTATATATATTTGTTCTCGTCCAAATTGGAAAAAAAAAAAAAAACACACACCACAGAATCTGTGCTAAGTTCTACCAGACAGTCTGTTCTCACATCCTGGAAACCGTTTCTCTCCTTCTCCAAAAACAACAACACACACAGAGACAGAGAGAGGGGAGTGAGAAAAAGACAAAAATAAATATATAATTGGACAAGCTGTTGTTCACAGCTCAGCATGGAGGACATGCATAAACACAGAGCTGGAGAAAGGCAGCAAAACACTGCCATCTACAGGACGAGATAAGCATCCCCTCAATCTGGGACAGGTTTTCGTGTCAGCGTTGAAACACTCATCACCTGACCTTGGCACGGAAACTGTTATCTGAACCAAAATAAGTGATGACCATTTCAGTGAGTGTGATGACTTATCATCTATTCGTGTGTTTTCACAGTTTCAGCTGCAGTCTCTGACTAAATAACCCCCAGAGTTATTTCCATTCATTCCCTTTCAGAGAGTCACAGAAAAGTGTCTAGTCCAGTGAGTGTTGACAGTAATCAGGACGCCCCCTACATAAAATATTCAGTGGCAGTCATGCAACTCCCAAGACACAGATCTGCTGGTACAACTCCAAAAAGATACTTCCAGGGTTACTTCACGGTGATGCTGATTAAATATAAAGTGCTACTGTAGAGTATGAGCTACTGTAGCAGAGTATTTACATGCACGTTTCTAGTGCATACACATACGTAGCCCAACAGTTTCCCTTTATCTTGGTCAGTACAGTTGACCTACTTCACAAGAGAACATTTATATTACCAACACACCAGTTTATCTATTCTGGACCAGAGCTCTCCAATGTGGACTTGAGCACCACCAACAGGCCAAGGCAGAATTAATTAATGAGTTCCACTTAAAATTACTGCAGATCACATCAGTACTAGTAAATGCTATACTTTTATGTAGGATACAGGGCTGGGTAACATATATGTGTATTTTCATCAATTTGTTTTCTATTTACCCTTTTCTTCAAATCATATCTGTTCTTTTTCCTCCTTACAGAGAATGTGACTGAGATCCAAACCAACATCTTTGTCACCAGTTTTGGACCAGTTTCTGACACTGAGATGGTAATGAAACACAAACACAAACACAACACCTCCTACATGACTCTTAACCACCTCTTCAGAAAACTACCAGGAGCCACCATCAAATTGTCAATGTGTTCTTATTTTTCCCCTTTCCTTTTCCATCTCCAATTTATTTTATTTCATCTTCTACCTTCTGCTTCTTCCCGTCCTTCTTCTTCTCTAATTTTCTCTTATTTACTACAGCTTTAATTAAACATTTAATTATCGTATAAATCTAGCATCACTTTACTATATTTTTATGATAATTAACATTTTGAATTAAATAAATTGTATTATTGCTAATATACTGCCATTATAACTATTATAATATATGGCTGCTAAATTATAATACTATAGTGCTCTTTTGCACATATTTTAAATTATTATATTATATTATATTATATTATATTATATTATATTATATTATATTATATTATATTATATGGACATTGTTCTTCACCTGTTAAATGTTAGATATTACATACGTATATATATCATTTTTCTTTTTCTTTTAATTCATTCCTTTTTTTATTCTTATTCCTGCACAGCTGAGGTGATTAATCCTAATGACTGATTTTCTCCCTTTTAGAGGAGTAGATTTACAATTCTCCCTCACTGTCTCCTTCTCCTCCAACCACCTCACCGCACATCTAGAAATCCTTCTCCCTTCTAAATACTATTTAACAGATATTTCCATTTTTTATTGTAGTTCAAATGTGACATGAGTCTGAATGAATGATTCATCTGCACAAACGCCCATTAAGAAAATAAGCAGTTTCAGCTCACACAGAGACTAGAATATGGATTTTCTTGGTGGTGGTTGGAGAGTGAGTTTGTTGACGTCAGTTTCCTGTGTCTAACAGTCAGATAAAACTAAATGGACTCTGTCTCCGTCTTAGGAATACACCATCGATGTCTTCTTCCGTCAGAGTTGGAAGGACGAGCGTCTGAGCTTCAAAGGGCCCATGGAGCAGCTATCACTTAACAACCTGCTGGCCAGTAACATCTGGACGCCAGACACGTTCTTCCTCAATGGCAAGAAGTCTATTGCACACAACATGACCACACCCAACAAGCTGCTGAGGCTGAAGGAGGACGGAACGCTGCTCTACACCATGAGGTTCTAAACACTTCTCCTTTCTAACGTCAATAGACCAGTAACAAAGGTGGTCTGGAAAGGTCCAGAATTCATAAATGAAAATATTTATCATAAGATTAAAACATTAATAAAATAAGATAAATATTTATCATAAGATATTTATCATAAGATTAAAACATTAATTAAAAAATGATCTCTTTAGAGGTTATATTTTTTGTTAGACTGCAGTGCAATGATGGCACCTGGTGGCCAACAAGGGTCCAACTGATAGTGATAGAAAAGAGAAGGAAGGAAGAAAGCAATTTAAAGCATTAACGAACGACATTTATAATGAAGGAGAAGGATGGAATGGAAAAAAGGAAGGAAAAAGTAGGATCAGAAAACGGAGAATTAAAAAGGAAAAGAAGAAAAAAACTGAAAGCAAAGAAAAAAACAGTAGAAATGGAGAAAAAAGACAGGAAGGAAGACCAGAAAGAACGATTGGTGGTAGGATGCGAAAATAATGGAACATATAAACCAGGTATTTAGGGTTGGAGGGTAGGCAGGGTATGTGAAAACTTCAGCTTGTTAGAAAGACAATACTGCGTCATACAACCTGTGGCCAGCAGAGGGCAGAACAGTCAACGTAATGGAAAACAAACTACAGCATCTAAAGCAAACCGAATAAAAATGCAATACAAATAAAAACATTTTCTTAAACTGACAGAAAAACTTGAAAAAAATTAAATTGAATAAATTAATCAATCGATTGAAACAAAATTATGCAATTCATATAAAGTCAATAACCAGGTATAACAGCGGATAACGTAACTCAATAAACACGTGACTCGAACTTCTATTATCAGTCCCTGCTCTTCCGGTACAACCTGAATTAAAACTACATGTAAATAATCACGAAATAAATACTGGTAATAAAAAGTTAATACATATAAATATAGTTCAGTATTTTTTACAAAGACTAGTCACTTGCATAAATGTCTAAAATCATCGGGCAAACATTTGCTTTGTTTCAGACTGACCATTTCAGCCGAGTGTCCCATGCAGTTGGAGGATTTCCCCATGGACGCTCACGCCTGCCCCCTTAAGTTTGGCAGCTGTAAGTACAAGCTCTACTTCTATTTGTGTTTCTAGCTTCTCGACAGCCAACATTCAAAGTAAATGTTTCATTTCAAAACATTATTATTACACAAATTTATGCCATTTGCCATTTATGCCGTTTATGTCTTTGTCTGTGCCACCCATTAGCTACTCTACTGGGTAACTACATGTTATGTCAAGGGCTAACCCTTTAACCTGTTTTATTTTTACAACTTTTTGTTGTTACGTTACCCTTTTGACCAAAATCACAGCTATTTTAAAGGTTATGACAGCGTTTTCGGTGTAACAGTACTTTCCATGGTGACATCCAACCTTCAGGGTTACACATGCTCACCTCTGACCTCCAGGAGGGTGATTAGCTTAGCATTAGCTATGGGAACCTCCCTGCAGCTTCTTTACCTGCTAACTGGATTATAGAGGAATGGGATTCTTCCTCTATGGAAAGGCGGTGGTTGGACTGGAGTCTGAGGATAAGAACCTGATCCTGTTATCCTGACAGAGCAGTGAGGTGTGTCTGTAAATACCCACAGAGGATGCTGTGTTGTCTTTTACTGTGTCCTCAGTGGGTTACAGAGGGGGCGGTGGTGGGAGGGGGGCCACACCACCTCTCTGTGCTGAGCTAATGGAGTGTTGGAGAACATTAGCTAATCTGGTTTTCCTCCTCCACCTTTGTGATTAGATGTTAACTCTGTGAGTCCCAGGGTCACAAAGTCACAACTTTTGCATATTTCCAGGATCAACATTAATAAAATCTAATTCTAGCTTTGATTTCTCATTGACAGGTAACATTTACATTTTTTTTGTACACAACCTGACTGAGCTAACTCTGAGACTTCTACTCCAGTCTAACCTTTGGTCTCTTTATCTCTCTCCCTCTTGGCCCAGACGCTTACCCAGTGTCAGAGGTGGTCTACACCTGGACAAAGAATGCATCCAAGTCAGTGGTGGTGGCCGACGACGGGTCCAGACTAAACCAGTACCATCTGATAGGGCAGACAGCAGGAACCGAGGACATTCACACCAGCAGAGGTTTGGACCATGTGACATTAATCATGGATCAAGGGTCTCCCTGGTTTCAATTACAGCTAATTCTTGACATTTTTAAAAAAAATCATTAATTCATGTGGGTGTTTATATTTCCATTTTGGGTGATGATTTAACCAGATTCCAAAATTTGTAAACAATTTGTATTGTTATATATATTATATATATTATATTATATATACATTTATATATATATAAAACATATTATATATATATATAGCATACATATCATTCATTCTGTGCATAAGGGCAGCTGTATATATAGCATACATATATATCATTCATTCTGTGCATAAGGGCAGTCAGACTGTGGTAGAAAATCAAACTGATGGAAATTGAATCAGGATTAAAAACCTTCACAGACCCAAGATGAGGATGAGAGAGAGGGAGAGGGAGAGAGACACAGAAGACTAAAGGGAGGGAGATGGAGGGAGACGCAGCAACAGCAGTAGTGCAGTAATAACAGATGTCTACACTGCTGAACACTTTTGCACTACAACACTGATCTCACACTCACACTGGCTGTCTCTCTTTCACACTCACTCACTCACTCTCTCTCTCTCTCTCTCTCTCCCTCTCACACACACACACACACACACACACACACACACACACACTTGGAACCCTAATCCTCTGTCCATCCTACCATCAGCCCTTGCATAACTACATGACATCACAGATCACTCAGGGATTGGTTGAGTTTCTACATTTATCTTCATGTCTTCTCTGAGATAAAACTAAATCTGCTGTTTTCAGCCTTGTTACAGCAACGTTACAGATGAAGGCCCGCCTGAACATTTCAAGCCCATTTAATTATTTGAAACACATCTGTTTTAATAAACTTCACACATTTAAATAAGGGATGAAATTAAACTTAAAATATCCTTCTTAAAATATTTATTGGGGGGAGTGGGGTCTGTACAGTCCACATCTATACTGAATTTAAATTGACAACAATACAGGTCTGTTTCTGACCTACCCTAGGGGCAACCTCTTTAAAAGTCAGTGTTCACTGCAAAAAGATAATATTATTCAAAAATAACAATAATTACTTTAAACCTAACTTAACAATATCAAAAACAGAGAAATATAATTCAGTACAGTACTGTAGTAGTACTGTATGTGTGTATGTACTCCAGAGAACTAGTACAGTCCCATCAGCTGATGTAGAAAGTACTGTGTGTGGCCAGAGCAGAACATACACAGACTTCTGATTCGTCTGAGCTGACTGCATTCTGAATCTTCTGAAACTGATAACTTGGTGGAACTGTTTTAACAGCAGGACAAATGCTTTAAATAATCTCCACCATCAAACACAATTAACAACAACAACAACGTGTCACCAGTACCTGCAGAGAAGAACAGGCTGGGAGACGTAGGAGAAGACAAAATAAATAGAAAATAAACTCATCAGTCCCACTGTTTTGGTAACACCCTCCCTCCCCCCCCCCCCCCCCCCCCCCCCCCCCCCCCCCCCCCCCCCCCCCCCCCCGCTATAATCTCCACCACCGTGTGTTTGTGTGGGGGAAGGTTACTGTATTTTCAAGGCATCTGTTTAATGCTCTTATGTAAAACAGAAGTGATTTACACTCCGTTCCACTTCCCCTGCTCCAGTGAATATTCCCAGTCTGACGGAATCCTCACTGGTTTCAAACGTGAAGTCTTCAAGTTCATTGATTCTTTCTGTTTGTTTCCATTTCTAAGCATTTAGAGCACCGGTGTTGGTATTTTCAGGGCCTTTCAGGGCCTTAGTACTGTTTTCAGTACTGTTTCAGTACTGTTTAAGCAAAAACAGTACTGAAACAGTACTGAAACAATACTGTTTCAGTACTGTTTTTGCTAAGACCTAGTACTGTTTTTCTTAGTGTTTGTACTGTTACATCAGGAATTCTTTTTTTAAAGCTCAGTACTGCGACCTTTGTGCATTGGTACTGTTTTTGAGTAAATTTTATCGTTGCTGTTTTCTCTGAGCTTCGGTTCTGTTTTTTTGAAAATCGGGGCTGTTGCATCACTATTGTTATTTTTGAGCATCAGTACTTTTATTTTATTTACAACAGTACAGTTATATCTGAGCATTGTTACTGCTATCTGTAGTGTTATAATAGTACCAGGACGATTGGTTTTTTATAGTGAGGACACTGTATGTGTCCATCAGTTCATGAAAACCTCTGTCTTACACTCTGTAAGTCTACTGTCATGACCTGGAAGATGATTTTGGAGACTCATCTGTCACCCCTAACAAATCTCCCATGGTCCATCTGTGCTGTGACCCAGTGTGAGGTAGTGAGTGGATTAAAATACTTTCTTTCTTTTTACCCTTAATAAACTGCAGTATCAGAGACTGAAAAACCCTTATGGTTTCCATTCACACTGACTGTGGTAAAAAAAAAAGAAAAAAAAAAAAAGAGTCAACCAGCTCTTGTGTTGAGTTACAGGTTGGTCTCTGTACTTTCTATTTAAAAAGAAATTAAAACACAGTTCCTGACACTGTACCCAGTTCTTATCTTTGAGTGTATCTGTAGAAACTGTCTGGTACTTTCCCTGTTCCTGGTCCATAGTTTCTGTAACCTGTCCCTCTGGTTAATGTCACATGAGCTTGAGGTAAATTCAGAACTGGCTGCAGCTGCTGATCTTCATTAGGTTTCTTATTTCAGTAGCGTAGAAGCAGGAGATTAGTTTGTCTTTTAAAGTGCTGACCATGTTTAAGGACAGTACTTCCTGTGGTGCCAGTGCCTGAAAATAGTTCCTGCTGCTCTAAGCAAGGCACACGTCCAGTTTATCAGCAATTTCATCTATCCAAGCTATTCCTTCGAGTTTTCCCCAAGTTTTCTACAGACCACTTCAGCTTTACTTCTTCTAGGTTTTCTTCAACACGAGGAAATGAAGACGCCACAGTGTGAAAAATCTAGCTGTTCATCCAAGTATTATAAACAAGCATGAAAATTTAGAAAAAGAAGGACAAACCAATGGACAAATGTTAAATGTAAAAACAAACAAAATTAAAACATACAATTTATGAAAATTAGCACATTATAAAAAATAAGTCAAGTTTAAAACTTGGAAACTACATAACCAACAAAAAAGTTGGAGGAGACAAACTCTAGTCACCCAGAAAGACAAAAATATACCCCCAAAGTAAAAGCTAGTCTGCCAAAAGTTAGTCAAATCACTCAGTGAAGGTTGGACCAATTATGATAATATGAGGTAAAATGAAATGTTGAAAAAATAGCTGAAAAGAAGAAATTACTTTGGCTAACACTGCAGCATAAATAGTTAAAACTGAGCTAATGGTTAACAACATTTAGTTCAGTGTCTAAACTGACCACAGGAGGCAGCAGTGGACCAGCAGCTCCAGTATCTCTGATAGCTAAAATCGTAGATTATCTCTATTAACATTTTGTTTTTGAGATTCACTTGGGAAGTTAAAAGAAATCCTGTAAGAATGATTTGACCACCAGTGAGATATAACTGCAGTTGTATTACAGTACCTTGTGGTACTGCATAAACTATATATATTATATTTTTAAATCATCCCATTGGCAAAAATATTTAAAATATGTATACAAGCACACTAGAAAGAAAGCTTAAAGTTATTTTTTAAAGTTTACTGAACACTGTACTCACCAGTCGACCAACATGGCAGCATTATTCCTGGACATAAATGGAAGTTCTCCGAGGACATTTTGGAATATAAACCCTTGAGTCAAAATCACAACGATCCACCAGGGAAGGAACATCTTCAGTGTCCTCCACCTTCCTGGACCCACAATCTGGTCCAGATCCATTCATTGAGGGTTGTGCTGAGGAGTCCCAGGTGGTGTGAGCCTGGACGGGTCAGAATGGAGGGGAGCGATGCAATTATGAATTGTTAGGGGGCGCCCAGGAGCCCAGTGGTGGCATCTTTGAGGGAACCCGTGCAGTTTCTTGATCTTCTGATCCAGACATGTTTTCGGTAAAAGGTCTTCTTTAGAAGCCTTCAGCATGTAGGGGGCGCTGTGTGTGAAGAGGAAATGTTGAAATTAACTGTAGCTGCTTCAGTCCCGTCAGGTGTTTTCAATAAAGTAAAAAAAACAATATTAGGTGAAAATAATCCTCTGGACAAAGACTTTTTCTGTCCTCCATGGCAAGAGCGTCAATTCTGTCGCCTTTTCTCTACAGATTACATTGTATGTGTGTGTGTGTGTGTGTGTGTGTGTGTGTGTGTGTGTGTGTGTGTGTGTGTGTGTGTGTGTGTGTGTGGATTGACAACAAGGATTGAGTAGGCGGAGATCCCGCCTCCTCCTCCTCCTTTTTCCTCTCTGACTGATCGCAGGATGCAGATTGTAACCAGGGATTAGGGAGGTTTCAAAAATCCGATTTTGCTTGGAGAAAGCCTGGTGTATTACTCTGCACTCTCTATGTGTGTGTGTATGTGTCTCTGTGTGTGTACATGTACTTTAATGTGTTGAATACAGTTGGATTTTTTTTCCCTGTAGTTAACCAAACTACTTCTGATGTCCAGAGGATTTTTTTAAGCCTCAAACTCAATCTTCTCCTGTTTTACTCAGAAACACAACACTGACTCTGCTGCTTAAAGTCATGGCTTGACTTTCAAAGGAAATATGTGACAATGTTAACAGATCACTTATTTTAACACACACACACACACACACACTCCATTCCCATTGATTCATTACCACAATGTCATTTTTATAGGGTCAAAGAAAATGAATATTAGCACGGTCTTCTATTTCTATTACTGTACTTCTAATTTCTTGTTTTGCTTGTGTGTATGTTTCATTTTTACCAGTGTGAAACAGACAATATGTGGCAGTAATGCAAGTTGCAGGACTCAAGTGTGCTGGTAAAGTCCAGAGACAAACAGAAGCTGAGGTTGTTAGCAAAGTTAGCTTGCCTTACCTTAGGGAAGACAAACAGAACAATAAATATTTAACATACATTAGCAGACCAAGTGCTAATGCATCCACAACCTGCCACTTGAACAGGACATGCTAGCAAACTGCTCATATACAGTTTTGTGGGCCTCAAACAAGCTAAGGCACTACAGTAGATGCTAGCACACTGGTAGCATGCTCCAGTTGAGTTGTCTTTACTTGTGTTTGTTCCTTATAACCAGGTGACAAGAACTAATCACGTTAAATTCACAAGATTAGATTACATTAAGAGGAGTGCACAGTGTCTGTGAATCATGGAACAGAGCTTTCAAAGTGTAAACAAACAAACCTTCTCTTCTATAGATCTGTGAACCAACAACCTGCTCTTCTGTATTTAATCACCAGGCTCACCTCTTCTTCTTCCTCTGTCTCTCTTCTGTATGTTGTTTTTGTGGTGGCGCCACCCCCAGGACAATACACGGTGATGATGGCCCACTTCTACTTAAAGAGGAAGATTGGATATTTTGTCATTCAGACCTACATGCCTTGCTTCATGACCGTCATCTTGTCCCAGGTCTCCTTCTGGCTCAACAGAGAATCAGTTCCTGCCAGGACTGTTTTTGGTAAGAACCGCTGTCTACAACAGCACACAGCATTTTTAAAATGTTCTTCAGCTTTTATTATTTGATTCTTGTTGTTTTTTTAATTATTTATTTTAATGTTTAAAATATTTCGTTCGGATTTACCTCGGTGCAAGATTAAAGTTTAATGTCATGAATAAATATGAATAAATCAAAGAGCAGTGTGCTTCAAAATAATTCACTTTATATTTACTAAGTACTAATTAATTTGGTGTGTTTTTCTGTGTTGGACCCAGGTGTAACCACAGTTCTGACCATGACCACCCTTAGCATCAGTGCCAGGAATTCTCTTCCCAAAGTAGCCTACGCCACCGCCATGGACTGGTTCATCGCTGTTTGCTACGCCTTTGTTTTCTCCGCCCTCATCGAGTTCGCCACCGTCAACTACTTCACCAAGAGGAGCTGGGCCTGGGATGGCAAGAAGGCTCTGGAGGCACAGCACCCAAAGGTATGGAGAAAAGTAACAAGGTCCTTGAAATTCAAGCCTTCAATACAGGTGAAGCCTACAAGGGAATCAGATCTAATCAAGGCATTATACAGTGACGAAGCATAAGTGCAGCTCAACATGACTTCAAATTGATGTCCTCCTTTAATGAGTCAGTGGCCGATTTTATTTTGCCGTGATAAAACAGGGTTTTTAAAATAAATGAAATGAATGAAAAGAATAAAAGACAAAAAACCTTGTAGTTACAAAAAGCTAAGCTTGGAGAACCAATCAGCTAAAGGTTCGCTTAGATCAGGCATAGGTAAACTAAGGCCCGGGGGCCCAATGTGGCTCTTTCAGCTTTTTAATCCGGCCCGCCAAATCTTTCCAAATTATATAATTTATTTATATTAAATGTATTGGAATGTAATGTTATCATTATACTTCTGCCTTTTCCCTGCAATACCAACGTTTCCCCAAAAGATGATGTAGAAAATGGTAAAAGCATTTTAGCATTTTAGCCTTTATGCATGACTTTTACCTGTTATTAATTGTGGCCCGCGAGTCAAAATGTTTGCCCACGTCTGGCCTAAATGTTAGCAGCATCATTGCATAATTTACAGTCAGAGCAAGAACAATAATCGTCAGACAGAGACAGGTAAAAGTTAGCCAGACTTAAAAACAATATATAAAAAGCCAAAGATGAGTCAAGAAATACTGGAAGGTTAACATGGAATTTCTTTCTTCAGAAACGTGATCCTCTGGTTTTGTCCAAAAAACCCAACAACGTTTGCTCTGCTGGTGTCAACTTCACCCCCAACCTGACCAAGGATGTGTCCATCTCCACCATCTCCAACGTGACCTCTCTGCAGCTCCGTGCCACTGAGACCAAGATGCCTGACCCCAAGAAGACCTACAACAGCGTGAGCAAGATCGACAAGATGTCACGGATAGTTTTCCCCGTCCTGTTTGGAACCTTTAACCTGGTCTACTGGGCCACGTACCTGAACCGAGAACCAGTGGTGAAAGGAGTGGTCACCTCTACGTAATCTCTCTCTCTACTCTTTTTTCTTATTTTCATTTCTTTAACAGAGGAAGTTTGTTAAGATCTTTACTAAAAACAATATCTGCGCTTGAACAAAAACTATACTCAGCTTTTTAGTCCCAGCACTTTGACATGGACGAATACCAGGCCGCGCCAGAATTTTCCCCACTTTTTCCAGAATATTTATGGCCTAAATGAATACAAGTATTAAAAAATGCTTTTTAAGACTTATGGAGGAAAAGACAAGAGCCTTGTCTCTTTTCCTTCTCATCTTATCCTGCTGCAGTTTGCATGATGCAAAAAAAAGAAAGTCCATTTCGGTCTTGGTTGCTGATCATGTAAATGTCAATCACGGCTTATTGATAAGAGCACAGTGGACAAACGGGAAAAAGACGGAGAATATTTGACTGGACCAGTGTCAGGAAGAAGTGGAACAAAAATCTTTGAATTTATCCTTTAAATTTACCAAATGCTCCTGCTTTTTGTCTGTAACGTCAGACTATCTGATGTGGTCGAAGGTTAGCCAACAATAGCTAAAAAAGTCAGAAAAGCTTAATAAAGTAAAAAGTTAATATTTTCTCATTTATTGAGCCATAAAAGAGACATATATACACAAAAAAATTTTTATCTTGAAATTGTCAAAACTAGAGATAAGGGTTTCACAGAAATACCAAAATCTTTGACAAAAATATTGAAAAACACATACTGAGAACGGCTCTGGAGAAATCTTCCAGAAGACAATATATTTAAGTAATTGTAAAACTAAGTTGAGGCTAATGGCTAAACATGTTAGCCAACAAAAGCAAACATTTGACAGAATATATGTAAAAGGTAGCTGAGGCAGAGCTACATTTTTGGAGCCTGACGATAGTAGGGTCAATCCTCTACAATAGATAAAAGTTAGCCCAAAGCTAGTATCATCTAATGAAGCTGTCCTTGGTCCCGCCCCCAACATTTCTGCACATGGTTTGAAGTGAAACCAGAAAAGCCTGAAATGCTTTGAGCTTCTGATGTATGTAAACTTTAGAAATGCTGCAACAGAACTTGTACTGTGGGTTGGTCTTAAAAGAAGAAGTTGAAGAAGTTCTAATCTGCGTGAAGGGAAACCTCTCCTGAGATTTAATGCTGCAATTGCTTTAGCTTTTATTTCACCTTTATCTTACGTCTCTCCTTCCTTTTTCCTGGTTTTAGAAAAAGCAGAATAGAGTTTTTAGCTGATGAGTCTCTGCTCTTTGTTAATGAAGACTTTACTGCTGCAGGTCTGGTTTCCCAAAATCATCCAGACCAAGGAGAAGGTTAAAAAGTTAAAAAGTTTATTATCACAGATGAGTTTCTGACACTGACCAGCTTTTTTAGACACGTTAGTGTCAGAGGTTGGTGTCCCACAAAGAATTAAAACTATTTTGGACAAATTTGAATAGCTTGTGATAAAGACATAGAAATGTGGGCAACATTCCAAATACCAAATGATGACTGGAAAATCAGTTTGGACCACATTGTGGTTACTAAATTTCTTCTGGTCCACCACAGGAACCCAAGGATGTCAACTTCTCTCACATACCTAAGGTGGACCAGATTTTGCTCTCTGTATGTGGACCAGACTGGTTATTTGGTCTACCATTGGGACACAATGATGTGGCCCATATTATGAAACATTTGACGTTGGTCAATTATTAGGTTTACACAGTCTTACTTTTTCATTTGTTCTATGAACACCAGATGTGGGCCAGATGCACAAATGGAATGGAATATTTTGGGAAACCAGGTCATTGTCTAATACGAGAATCATGTAAATACTTATCTGTTTGTTTTAAAGCCTTTTAATAATAGGAAAAAGAAAACAGGAATAACTTTACGTAGTGCTGACTAATTCCCTGTTTTCGTGTTAAGTTATTTTCTTCTGTTAGATTGTAGATGAGCTTATATCTAAAAGTGCTTTAGTCTGTTTTGAATCTCATTTTATTATTAACTGAAGTGAGAGAACCTAGCACAGGATTAGGATCCAGCCTATGCTAGTAGAGGAGGAAGATCGGGAGGTGTAGGAAGAAGAGGAGGGCCAAGAGTTTGTCAATGACTACAGTGTGATGAAAAAAAAAAGAAGAAAAAAATCGAAAAATAACTCAGGACCTAAAGAGGAGCCAGGCTTCCAGCAGAAGAATCGCCTTTTTAATCAAGGGGACGTTAAGGAACAATGTGCACTGTTGCTCTGTCGCCCCCTGCTGGCAGCAGAGTCTCTGAAAACTAAACGGCACTGAATGGCTTTGTGTAAAATTAAAACGTGTAAATAAAGACGATGTTGGCTGCTACTTCAAGGTTTTTCTGACCTTAATTATTTTATTTACACACAAAAAAAATGTTTTTTGTTTTGTTTTTTTTTTTTTGCCATGGTGCAGACATGGAGGACTAGAGCAAAAACTGAACTGGCAAAAAACTCAAAACAAGGGGGTTGATTGCAAGTATTTTTCCACCTCTGAATAAGTAATGAAAAAATAATACTTTCTGCATTAAACGCACAGACAACTTTAAAAAGTTTAAAAAACAACCTAAAACCTAATAGGAATGAATTTAAAAGAAAAACTCACCTCTTCTGTCGTTTTCCTGGTGACTGTTTTATTTCATGTCTGCTTCTCCAAATTTATACCATGATTAATATAGGGAAAGTGTGGCGCCACTCTGTAGTTAGTTTACATCCACTAGAGGGCAGTGCAGACTCGGACCTAGAGCCTGTGAGTCTATGAGCTGAACAACAATAGTGAGGCCGTTAAATAAATGAATAAATGATCACACCAATCTAACAAACTAAAACAGTAGCAGCAATTAAACTAAACGCCTGCCACTGTGGATTTGACTTCATTGGTTCAGCTGTTGGTTACTGTAGCCACTGCTGATGCCAACCACTGTCTTTCTCTGTGGACTGGTAAGCACTGGTAAAGAAGGAGCTCGGTTCATAAAGAGTAGTGATACCTCAGAGTTCTCCAGGTCAAATGGAAGTATAAACCATTTACTTCAACAAAGTTTATGGAGAAAACCAATTATTTTAGCTTACAGTGCCTCAGCCACTGATGACACAGTGCTGCCTCTCGTGGTCAGTTTGTGCCTTTGAGATCTGAAAAAAGGCTCTTAAATAACAGAATTTATGGAAGATGAAGAGACCATTTGTGTCTGAGACGTCCAATCACTGACTTCTTGGTGAAGACATCGGTGAAGGACACTCGATGACAAAGAAGAAGAAGAAGAAGAAGAAGAAGGGGAGACATAGAAAAATAATCTAATCATATATACACATACATACACTACGGCATTTGTCCTCTGCAATGTAAGTGGCGCTGTTAGGGGCAGGTTTGTGTGCATGCTCCACATACTGCAGCCAGGGCGGGATTCGAACCTATGATTGTCTTAACACTAGGCCTCGACTGAGATGACCAGCTATAAAACGTGACCAAACATACATTTCTAATGTCAAAGAATATCTCCGGCGTATCCTTAGTAGCCACATATTCTTTCGCGTAAGCAACAGAGTCGCCCCCTGTTGGCTGACTTCTATAGCCACAGCCGTACTTTTTCCTGTTCTTAATTCTAGAATGTGATTCCTTGAGTGAAAACCACGAAGGTTTCCTGCTGGAGGGCTGTTAAACAGATGAAGTAAATGATGGCAGGGATGACGTCACGGATAAAAACTCAAATCTGACTCAAGTTTGTTTATGTCTTTAACGAATCAGCAGCAGCTCTGAGACCACAGGTGAGTGGATGTGAATGAGTGTCTGCTTCATAAAACACACCATCATCTTCTGAGGTGGATCATCAGCAGCAGCAGCAGCAGCAGCAGCACCTCCTCCTTCTTCTCCTCCAGCAGCATCAGCAGCCACATCAGTCCTCCTCCTCTTTCTTCTCCTCCTCCTCATCCTCCTGCCTACGCAGTCGTCTGGACCCGGACCTGGTCTCTTCTCTGCTGCTGGAGCGGATCCCTCTGATTGATCAGCGGGTTCCTCCCAGCCCTGAGGAGCCTCCTCACACCTCCAACATCCTCCTCTCCTCTCCTCTCTTTCTTCCGTCCTCCTTGAGTGCGGTGCGGGATTGTCGAGGCTCTATGACACGAAGAAGAAAGTGCGTGGGCAGATGAGGGAAGTTCTGATCCAGGGTTGATGTTTTTCCGCTCTTCTTCTTTAATCATCAAACCTTCTGTGGTGCTGGACTGAAGTGATCCTGAGGTTGATCCTGACACCGACCGTGCGGACGGACTCCGGTGATCCGCTGATCCACGCGTGGATAAAATGACAGCGGAGTTGGTGTTGATGAGCTTCACTCTGCTGCTGCTGCATCAGGCAGCTCGGTGAGTTTCCTCTTTCACATCAAACACAGAAATGAAACCAAATCTGAACAGATGTTTGTTTCCGAAGCTGCAAAAGTTACCGCTTTAACTTTGATGCTGGTGATGATGAGGAAGATGACGATGAAGGTTTTCTTCTACAAAACCTTTTGTTGCGTGTGCGCGAACACACGGACATGTTTATGTCATCCTACTGGTCGTTATCATTTGTGTAAAATGTACAAATGCACTGAATGGATTTACAAGAACTAGTTGGGAAGGAAGGAAGGTAGGATGGAAGGGAGAAAGGTAGGAGAGAGGAGACAAGGAAAAAAGAAAAGGAATGAGACTAAGGAGGGTAGAATGGAATGGACACAAAGGAAGTTAGGACGAAAGGAAGAAAAAGGAGAGGAAAAACAGCAAGGGTGAGGAAAAGGAGAAAAGCTAAATTTAAGGAGGAGCAAAAGGACTACGAGGAAAACAACAAGGTGGGGGAGGGAAAGGAAAAGAAAAGAAGTCAGGAGTCAAGAATGAAAGAATAAAGCAAGAAAGGAGGGAGGGAGGGAGGAAAGGAAGCAAGGAAAGAAGGGAGGATAGAAGGAATAAGGAAGTACAATAATAGTTTGGTCCGTATCCGTAAGATAAACAGAAGGAGGAAACAAATGTATAAAGGAGACCTTGGTGACTAGGTAGTGAAACAAATGAGTAAAGTAATAAAGAAGGAAGCAAGGCTTAGTAAAACAAGGTAAGTAGAAATGGGAAAAAAGAAGAAAGGAAGGAGAGAAAAAGTAAAAAAGAAAAAAATCCTTCATTGTTCCTTTGTAATCAAACAAATTCCACTTCTGATCTAAACGTTCCCGTCTTTTCAGCTCTGACCTTTTGGATTATGGCGAGGATGAGGAAGACCACCATGACGTCACCGTCAACCAGATGTTGGTGCCCAGGTCTCACCAGGAGGATGCCACGAACATCCTGAACAACCTGCTCAAGGAGTATGACAAGACCCTGAGGCCAGACATCGGAGGTAGGCGCACGGACAGCACACAGCTGGGTTGATGTTCAAGGACTTCAGCACCACGGAGAGCGCTGATCTTCTAGCAGGAAAAAATAAAACTTTAGCTCTCCATAAAAAAGCTTAAAAACCTCAACATACAAACAGTGTTTTTCTGTCAGTTAAATAGAAAGGTACAGACGTGGCCAGGCTCTTAGGTCCAGTGACTTTTTAAGAAGGTGGTGAATAATGATGACACCAGTGGAAACAAAATTAACAGAAATGTCAGCAAGACAGACAGTTTCCACCGTACCACTGAATGTCAGCAGTACAGCAGAGGGAGGTTACACCAGGGTCAGGAGCTTGCATCATTATTTTGACATACCGTGAGAACTCTTCATGTAGTGTGAGTGTGTGTGATTGGTAGTTTAAATAACTAGGGTCAACCATCCAGAGTAATGGACAGTGCACAACAGAGGTGGAGAACCAGTGGTGCAGGCAGAGTGGAACGACTGGGGACGACTGTCAGGAGTGATTTGCGACAGGAGAATAGCAGCAAAGTTGAGGGGAATATTTTTACGAGAGAGTAGTGAGACCTACTATGATGTATGGTTTAAAGACACTGTCTGAGCAGTTTGGACATGGAGTCAGAGAGCTGAGGTGGAGAGGGTATGGACATTTACTGAGGAGAGAGGGTCCATATATCAGACAGAGGTGTTAGATTTGGAACTGCCAAGCAAGAAGAGAAAAGGAAGACCGTAGAGATTTGTGGATATGGTGAAAGAGGGCACGGAGATTGTTGGTGTAAAAGCAGAGGAGGCCGGGGATTGTGTGAGATGGAGGCAGATGATCTGCTGTGGTGGTGTTCCCTGAAGGCAACAGCCCAAAGACGAAGAAGTGTGTGAGTGTGTTTTGTGCCCAGAAACCTTCCTGATTTAATCCATGTCCTTAATGTGCAAGGAAACATCCAATCTTCATGGATACCCTCACCCTGGGGGGCCGAGGGTGAGCGGGGTCTTATAATTGGATTCTGTTCTGATCATGGGTTCTGTTCATCGGTTCTGAAGCCCTGCAGTGTTTGTTCTCTTCAGTGACTCTCTGACTGCTGCTCTGCTCCTCCTGTAACCACTCACTGTAGCCTCATTCACTGGTTGCTGCCACACCTGAGAGGGCAGAGTTGCTTGGAGGTTGGATGCAGCCGTGATGCCGGTGAACTGAGTGGCTGTCACAGCCGTGTTGAAACACATAAGAGCATCTTCCCTTTCTTTATCTTTGTGACAGGACACACTGGCTCAGCATTGGTTCCTAATCTTGTCCTCCTTGTAAAAGCCCTTGGCCTTTTTGTCATACAGTTGTTAACCCTCTGCCATTATGTGTTTGGTGATAAGAAACATACTAAAGCTGGTTGTTAACTGGAAATAATATTGTCTCATATTGTCAGAACAAAAACACAAAAACCACAGTGAAATCTACTTAGAACAATAGTACTTTTACTACTGTATATTAGTTTGAACACGACAACTATCACCAAGTCCATAAAAGCAAATCAGTGACATTCAATTAATGAATTCCTTCAGTTACACACACTGACCACAAGAGACAGCAGTGGGCCAGTAGCTGTGAGCCAATATCTCAGATTTCTCTATTATTATTACTAGTATTTTACATGATAACCAGCACCAAGTTAAAATGTGGTGCGACATAAACTCACTGATTTTCTCTGTAGATTTTTTAAATACTGTGATAAAGCAGTATTCACATTCCCAAGGTAACACAAACCGACTCATAAAATACCTGAACTATTCCTTTTAGGAAAAATGCGAAACCCTAATGTATAATTTATTTCCTTTTTTCAACTAGGGAAATGCAAAACAGTGAAAAAAAGTGTGTCTCAGCAAGAAATTCAGTGATGCAGAATTTTGTAAATTCTGGCTGCAGCCTAACGAGGCCATTATCTGCTCTGCGAGATGCGGGCGAATTCAGCAACGGAGTCTCATCTTCATATAAAGTGTGTGACTGGTCCAGTGGTGAAAGATGAGAAAACAAAAAAAAGGAGTCAGATTTCCCTGGAGCAGAACAAGTGTTCAAGAGTCTCACCTCATACTATAGGAAGCCGTTGGACCTCAGATGTAAATGAAACACTTGCGTGTCCCTGTTGTGTCACTTTCTTTTTTGGATCCAGACTGTGATTGCTGTGTTTCTGTGCGTGTGTGTGCTTGTAAATGTCCAGAGAATCTGGGATAAAGCTTTTAAAGCTGTGTCAAAGTGCTGTTTGTGTGCGTGTGCGTTTTGCTGCGGCAGCACATCTTACTGTGCATGTTAACTCTGCTCTGGTTCTTCTGAAATCCACACTCATCTGCAAAAATATGAGAAAATATTTTTGAAAATGTAAAAACAGTTGTAATCAAATAATGAACCATTAGAAAGCAGAGTTGGGTACACAAAAATTGTAAAACAGTCAAAACATAAGTTCAAATATGTGAACATTAGTCAACGGTGTCATGAATTATTGAAAACTAAACTAAAAATAGCCAATATGTAGAGAAACGTTGTGCAAAAATAATAATAACAATAATAGAATTTATCAAAAATAAATCAAATATAATTCCTGCAGAGATAAACATTCATCTCTGGAGAATAACAAAGCAAGTCTATGGTAGAAAAATATTTTCTGAATCTAGAAGATGAGTGTTTGTGAGAAGGTAGGAAATGGCAGACAAAGACAAGAGTTAGCCTCAGATAATGAACCTGTCTCTGGGACGATTCTAAAACCATTTCTGTTCCCTGACTGTTTACAACTAACAACCACTAACAATATACTCTGGACTAGACGGCAGTTTATTTAGGCTACATGCCAGGCTATGAGCTGTTATATATTGCTGCAAACTTCAGCGTTATGCTTAACAGATGCCATGCTAACATACATAACAGTTGACCTGAGTAACTGTAGCTGGTTCACAACTGCTGGTTTTGCTGAGTGCAGCACTATGACAACAAACTGGGAATAAAACCAGCTAAAGGATGTGGTACTGGTTAATAAATGCTACCAAGCTAACAGAAGACAGCTAACAAAGGCTCTCCAACAAACTCCTGGTTAGCTTAAGCTATAATGCTAAGTCTAGGTCCATCCTCGAGGCCAGTGTAAGACAAACCTGTGGAGTACTTTAGTGTTTCCTGATCAAACGCTCTACCTTTCACTTCCTCCCAAACTTTTAAACTTTTCTTTTCTAGTTTGGCTCCCAGGTGAAGAGACTAATATTAGCCACAGTCAGACCTCCGAGTTTAAATTCTGTTTCATTTAGAAGGTGGCTCCAATCTAACTTCCCAGGTGAGAGTTTAAACTAAATTTAGCTGCAGTCTGGTCTTTTTACGAGCCTGAGCTCCTGTTTATTTGTATTGGCTGCTGATCCAAACACTTAGACTGGACCAGGGTGGAACTGAGTCCTGTGAAATGTTGTATTAAATATTTATAAAGCAATACAGGAGTGAATGGGTGAATTAGGAAGCATTGTGTGAGAGTAGATTTGTCCTGAGATGGAAGCAGAGTGATTTTCTTGTTAAGAATTTGTAATAAATGGAGTGATTCACCACATGGTGACCACCCACAGCCGGGACTTGATTTAGCCCGTCAGAGTCACAGAGTCATGTGTGTCGGAGGAAGAAGCCACTCTGTTCTCTTCTTTACAAATTCTGTCTGCTCTCGATTTTGTTTTTCTTATTTTTCAATAAACAAAATAATCCTCCTTTTACAACGCTGGAGCGAAAACCCGAGATTTTAGCTCACAGGGACAAAGCAGTTATTGATTCACTGTTGCCTAAGAAATTAGCCACTATATATGTCATTCAAAATCCTTTGTTCAGATTAATCTTAGTGAAACAAACAAACAAACAAACAAACAAACAAACAAACCACAAGAGGCAGCAGTGGACCAGCAGCTCCTGTTTCCAAATTATTGTATTAACTGACTCGAGTTTGCAGGAGAGAGTGATCTGAAAGTATGAAACAAAACGCTCTTGGAAATAGTTCTAATTAATATCTAGAGGGAAGTCTCTGAACAGGAGTCTCATTTCTCCAGAACGACAGAGTTAATGGAAAAGCACAGGGTTTGGTAATCATGTGGAGCCACAGGAGGAGGAGGAGGAGGAGAAGGAGGAAGAGTTCCACATGAACGACATTAGTCTGATAATCAGACCAACCTGAGTCCAGCCCATGTCTCACACATCTACCTCCTTTGTCTGATCTAAATGTTTAATCCATGTCCATCTGGGTCCAGTGTCCAGAGGCTTCAGATCAGATCAGGCTGTGGTGGAGGGTGGGGGGGTGACACTAGGTGTGAGACACCAGGGGGAGAAAACCTGCATCTATGCACTTAGACTGGAGTCAGAGACTATTAACTCCATTATTAAAATCCATTATTAACCACTTTTAATTCATCCTGGTTGGTCTCAGGGAGCAGTGGCATGGTTTCTTTCTTCTTTTGTATTTTCTAGTTTTTCCTTTCTGTTGACAGTAATACGGACCAGTTTCAAAAAGATCCAGAAAGGGGGCAGTATAGTAACGCAAAGGATTCAGATTTACTGACAAAGCCCGACAATGAGAGGCTGAGGGTGTTAGCAGATTACTTAGTTACTTACTTACTTATTATTACTTACTTACTTACTTAGCCTAGCCTACATGAAAAATGAATTTCAAAATAAAAGCTATTTTCCAGCAATTTACTGGCATTCAGCAAATGCACTATGCGCTAGCCCGCAGCTAACATGATGCTAATAATAAAATGCATCACTATGCCAAATCTTTGATGTTGTGAATGAGGATCAGGAATGACTTCATTTCTGATCCCTGAGGAAAATGGTTGTGTATTTCCTATATCCATCACACGATTTACCGCCTAAAAATATTTTATTTAATTCTTGGTTAAAGATTTTTGACACAGTTTACATGGTTAGATTGATATTAAAAAAACACTGTGAACCAGGGCTTTCTAATGTGCTTTTAGTACCACCTACAGGCCATAGAAAATAGTAGTCAACTGTATAAAGTCATAGAGAAATTCATAAAAATTTACATGGTTTGAGTTTGAGTCAAAAATATGTAGATGTGTAAAGTGTCCATTCAGGTTGTTGACATGAAGAACCTTTAGGGTGAACTGGTGTTTCACCAACCTCACCTCAGATCAGGCTGGTGTTTCTTTCTCGTCTTCCTCCTGAACCACTGTGACTCCAGCAGCAGCAGCGTTAGCGACAGCGTCAACTACTGTAGCCCAGGGAGAAATAAACAAATGCATTATTCATGGTTGAACTGATGGACATGGAAGCTGATTAGATGTGGAGATGGTTTCCAGTGATGACGTCTGACTCAGTATTTGTAGGATCAGTTTATGGGACAGTAGAATAAATCAAGGAGGATTTTCTTTGTTTATGATCGCTGTATCTGTGTGTGTGTTTGGGACTGAAGCTGCTAACGCTGCATCCCTTCCTTCTGTCACACAGATTATAGTATTAACCTGAGCAGTGGCAGACCTCCAAACCTCAATTAGCATCATTAGAAGTCCCTGCACAGTGTCCTGGGATTAGTCAGAGTCTAGACTGAATGGTTTGGGTCTTTGTTTGTGGTCATTTTACTTTACTTAACTCACACAATAACTAATGCAAAGACAAATGGTTTCCTCCGCCACCAAACACTAACCAGCACTAACCAACCAGTCCTGTGTTGAGGTATTAATGATATCAGGGATGTGAAAGATTAGCAGAGTGACTCTTCTAAGAAACAACAAAATTACTGAATGATTCTGCTCTTAACAAATGACAAATGGAAATTTGTCAAACAGCCAATGAGGGGAATAAACGTGTTGGTTTGTACAAAGTAGATTTTTTATAAATGTTTACACCAAAGTCCATACAGAACGATTTTCATTTTTACCTCGGGGCTCAGTAGTTTTTAACCCACTGCTGTCTTCATCTCTGAGTCCAAATCTGTTCAATTAAACTCAGTGGCACACACTAACCACAGGAGGCAGCAGCGGACCAGCAGCATCTGTGTCACTGTTAGCTGTTGGTTGGAGGGAGTAAGCAGGAGCTCAAACATTCATATGTTGATCTGCTGGGCTTAAACCCAGCTCAGCGTGGACTCAGCTCTCATTCCCTGCAGGACTTGGATCCAGATCTGAAGTTCTAATATTCAGATGCTGACATTTTCTTCTCAGCAGCGCCACAGTAAAATCCATGTGATTGTTGTGTGTTTCCATGGTGACAGTGTGGACACTGACAGCTGGGGCTAAAACAGGAATATTTCCTCTGAAGACCTGGGCGAATCGTTGACATTTATTTACAGCGTTTGAATAATGAGGTAAAAAAGTTTCTGTTTCCTGTTCACATTACTGTAAACACTCTAATCTCTGCCTGTGTCTACCATCACGATCACTCTGCAGTTCCTAATGCTGAATTCAGATTAAGATTTTGCTGAGCTAGGATTCTTTTTTGCCTGGTTGTTGGTTGGTTAGCACTTAAATACTGCCACCATCAGTCCTCAGTCTGAACTACAGTCCAATGTGGGTTTGAATTTTGTTGTTTGTTGTGCAATCTTTGGTCATAAATATAAGAGCCGTCATCCTCCTGGCACCTTGGGCCAATAGGGGTCGCTCTCTAGTCCTCCTAAGCAAAGACCTCCATTAACTCAGCAGCTCCTGCCTCCTCCTGCACGGACACACATGACTCACTTAAATGACCACATACAAAAACATCACGGGTCTGATCTGAAAATATTAGATCTGTGCTGTGGAGACTGAGGTCCGTATGAAAACAGATGTTGATTGGATGAAGGAAGAACGTCGGTCTTTATATCAATCCATCAACCTGCAGTGAATCAATCTGTTAGACAAACAGTGAGAACGGACAATAACTACATAAACCAATAAAGAAAGGGTAGGTATAACTGTGACTGTCGGAGTTAAATCTGACCACGCCCTGACCTGACTGATCTGTCAGACACCACGGCTGAATTACCACAAACCTTTGTCAAACAAAATGTAGCAAATAAACACCCAGATGGAAATGCATATACAATTTTTATGAAATTAAGTTATTTTTTAAATTACTCCTCTATTATCAAAAGGTACAAAAGGATGGTCAAGAGAAAACACATTCTAGCTAAAACATTGTTTTGGTAGCTAATAGTTAGCCCAATTGTCTGTAAAATGATTTTAGGTACGGTGATATATATTTTTACAAAAATCAGGTTTGTTAAGGAGAACAGGTTGATGTTAGTCAAACAGTTTGTGCCGAAACAATCAGTAAATAAAACCCTGGACACTGAACATGTGAATCTGTGTGAATTCTCTGTCATGGTACTTTAGGCTCCAGCTGGACTTTCTGGCTCCAGTCAACATTTCTGACATTTGTTTCTCTCTCTCTCTCTCTCTCTCTCTCTCTCTCTCTGTGTGTGTGTGTGTGTGTGTGTGAGTCAGCCCTTGTATGTTCCATGGCAGAACATATCAACCAAACAACAGATTGACCACATACAGTCCACACACTGATGACACCAATTGTAAATGTATCCTGTGGCTCTACCTTTATCTGTCTGTGGCACTGCTGTCAGTGTGCTAACTGTGTCCTCCTCTAATGCTAACATGCTAACATGCTAAAGAGCTGCTGATGTAGCAGTGATTCTCTGGACCTGCGTGGGTCCAGTTTCATGGTGAAGCTGCTGAGAGAACATCACGGCTCAATCCTTCTAACTTCTCCGTCTTCTCCCTTTCTTTGACAGTGAAGCCAACCATCATCGATGTGGGGATTTACGTCAACAGTATTGGACCTGTGTCCTCCATAGACATGGTGAGTGGTGGTCTCCACTACCAACAAACAGCCGTTTCCACAGGAAAGATCTTAGTTCACAGGGACACGGGAGCAGCTGGTGAATCTGAAACACACGTTTCAAACAGTAATTATCCATCCGTCCGTCCATCCATCCATCCATCCGTCCATCCATCCATCCATCCATCCATAAATCCATCCATCCATCCATCCATCCACTTATCTGTTACCGGGTCGTGGGGCAGCAGTCTCCACCCAAATCCCACTGCACCGTACCAACCCCCCTGAACCTTCCTCCAGGTGGTGAGTCCACTGGAAGGTACCAACCGCCCTGACTGGGATTCAAACTTGTCCAGGAGGTGAACCAGGGGGTTCAACACTGATGACAGGGACGTTGCCTCTGGGCCAAAGCGCCACTCGCCACTTTAGTAATTGAATAACTTTAGCCAAGAGTATTTAGTAATTGAATAACTTTAGCCAAGAAAGAACCAACACATGAAGAGGATGTGAATACAATTCTGTCCAACGTTAATGTGGGAGTTTAGGAAGGAAGTGAAATACACACAATATCTTATTATCTACACAGGAGATACAAAAACAACTTTCTGTTAACGCTAAGTCAGTGTGGAACTGGAATGTTCTTCATTTTCTTCTCTGTTTGACAGGAAATAGTTTTCTCTGTAAATATCAAGTCAAGAACAAAAGCCAACGATAAAAGCTTTTTATCAGGCTGACATTTGAAATCTGGTTATTGTCCTTAAAAACGTTCAGTTCTGTAATTTGGTTGTGAGTGACATTTTAAATGGATGTAATTACAGGGAGGCCATTAGGTGAAAACAAGCCTTTTTTACTGGAGGAAAAACTTCATTTGTGCAGAGAATGTGTCGGCATGTTGTTGCTTTTGTTGTGTTTGTTTGTCTTTCTGAATTTTGGACCATAATTGTCCTTCAAAGTCAGATGATTGAACCTTTAATGTCCTTGAATAATTGCTTGGATTCCTTCACAAATTCCTAAACCTGCAGAGACCAAATATGAGTTCAGTATTTTATTAGTATTTTGGCATTTTATTTTATTTAAACAGGGCAATAAGTTGTTGTTTTCAAATGGGGAAACAAACAAATACTATCATGGAGAGTGTTGATAATATTAACAACATGGTGCACGGAGGAAAATGGGGCGGGGGGTGCTTACAAAAAAGCAGCGGAGAGAAGGAGGAAGGTAGAGGTAGAAAGGTCATTTATTCCGAAAAGAAAAAAAAAATCAATATTAAACTTGTACAAACTGAAACCCAATTGTACTTTCACTTGTAGTGGATTATTATTAAATGTTAAACTGCAAGTTTATATTTTTTTTCTTATTTTTAAGACTAGTAATTATTGTGCCAATTTGAAAATAAATGTTTATTTTTTTTATTTTTGTAAACATGAATCTGTGCCTTTACCTGCTATGGACCTCAATGAACGTCACTGAGAACATACAGGAGGTACACTATGGTACAGTGTAGTACGGTACACTTCTGAAACCAGCCCAACCAGAGGTTCGAGGTTCTCCTCTCTGGTTTATGGTCTGATGTAGAGTGAGTTTAATACGACAGGCGGTAAATTACCAGACAAAAGAGCTGTGACATCAGAGCTTCATACACTGAGTGGGTGGAGACCAGGATCGGCAGTGTCTACAGTCTGATCAAACACTACTGTTTCACACAGTCAACCACTGTGTCACAGCAGACAGACAGCCAAAACTATCAGACATGTTAGCCTCAGTTAACGGAAAAGTTAGTTCAAGAAGTGTCTAAGTATAAGCACATAAAAATAATAGTAGTAAAATTCAGCTCATTACGTTACCTTATTATAACAATCTCAGTTTTTAAAGGTGAATGTGAAAAAAATTCTGAGTATTACCTTTTTCAAAAGGAAAAAAAAAACTATTGGTTAAAGTGAAATCCCACTCATATGTTTCTATTGAAGGTTGACTTTTGAACAAATGCAGCAGGGTTAAGAAGGACGGCGTCAGAGCTTTGATAAATCAGCTGTTACTGCAGCCTCTTTAGAGCTGCCATGATTTATCTCCATTATACTGAAAAGATGAGACAAAAGTGCAGAGCTGAGACAAAGAGAAGACGGGATGAAGGGAAGGGGTGAATATTCTGAACGACATCACCGTCAGTCTGCTGCACATTTATCCACAGACAGAGACAGAGTCAGAGTCAGGGTTCCCGTCTGTCAGGAACAGAGACAGTGTAAGAGTTGGTTTATAATTAAAGTGAGTCAGAAACATGGACAAACTGAGAGTCACTGCTGAGGTTGAGAGTCAGAAACACAGTTAATAAAAGAGGCAGCACTGGTGCTAGAGTTCAGGGTTTAAAAACTTAAACTTATCTTTATTTGTCATTGTGACACAGCACAGCACAGCACACCATGCACAACGAAATTTACCCTCTGCATTTAACCCATCACCAAGTGAACAGTGGGCAGCCGTGGTCAGCGCCCGGGGAGCAGTGCTTGAGGACGATGCCATGCTCAGTGCATCTCAGTGGTAACCACCACTGCCTCTTTAGTCACTATTGGTTTAGTTAGTCAGAGTTAGTTTCTGACTTGGTCAGGGACAGGGTCCAAAACAGGAACAAACCTAGGGTCTAAACAGAGTTAGAGTCATACCCACACAGTTCAAGGTAAATAAAGTGTGGGAATCAATCAGAGAATATACTGTTTTATACCCGTGTTTCTATCAGTTACAATGTTAATGACTGGTCATCTTAATAAATGACCAGGGTTCAAAAATCATTTCTGGTAACAGTGGAAAGTCTTTTCTTTGTTGTTTAGTTTGGTCAACTAACGTAGCTCTTGAAATGTCTTCAAAATCCTTCTGATTAATTTCTTCTAAGAAATCCAGGTCTTTTAAAACCACGTGTATTCATTTAGCAGAGTCTAACTGAGTGTCAGAGTCAGTTCCCTCCTTCAGCTCCACTTCAAGTGATCAAGACAAATCAGACAAATCAGGTTTGTGTTTCTCACATCAATCATAATTAATTCCACTTTGACTCAAATGAAACTGTGACCAAAGGCTAAAACTAAAAATCTGAAATTGAACAGAAAATGAACAGGATTTTTGTTCAGGCACAACATGGAAGCAAGATAAAGTGGGTTCCTTTGTTTTGTTCCTAGAAATGTACTTATAATCAGCCAGTTATATTGTTCTGTGGGGATAAATCATGTTTTCTTCGAGGTAGGTAGAACTGGTCGCCAACAAGAAATCATTACAAAACACTTTAACATTTAAAGGCTAGCCTTAAATCAGCTAAATGTTAATAAAAGATTATGGTAGAAACAATGTGAACTTAACTGAGATAGTAGCCAGCCACAAACACACACCAGTTTAGAAAGGAGATGAATGATCTCCTTTCTAAACTAGACTCTGATAAACTGATTCAACTGTTGAGCAAAGAAGAAACTAAAATACACACCTTGCCTGGACATTGAAAAGATAACAACTAACAGAAGTAGCCAAGGCTATACTAAAATGTTAGCTGAGGAGGAGGGTTAAAGAAACCCCTGAAATATCAAACGAACCAAGAACACCTTTTTAATCTTATCTAAAAAAAAAGAGCCAAATTCACTGGCTCTGACACTAAAGGAGTTAAAATGAGGTGAGAAAACAACTAACATGGGAGAAGAAAACTGCAAAAAAAAAAGATGGATAAATGAGAAGAAAGGTTTCATTATGCCAAAAATACTACAGGATATCTAAAAAAAATACTGTATCTAAAGATGGGACAAGAAAATGGCTAAGATACTGTATATTAGAAGGCGTCTCAAGTAGATCGCAAGAATTCAATCAGATTACAGCTAAAAAAAAATAAAAAATCTAGAGTTGATTAGAGTTTAAATTCGACTAGAGAACGACAAATCTTCCCCAGCTGATTTTGATGTCACCCAAAAACAGCGACAGAATCTCTGCTGGATAATAAAAGGCTGTTCAAAAACACCCAGAGGCATTTTTAAAATGCTATATTTTAGCTTCTCTCACGTCGACGTAGCCTGTGTCTTAATGTTAATGCTAAATAGAGCAGCTGATGATAAATTCAATAGTGACCACAGTGAAAGTGAGTGAGTGTGGGCTGAGTCCACACACTGACTGAAGGACGAGCTGATCCTCCACTCTGAAGAACCATGGAGCTATTTCAGTGGCACACACACACAGAGGCAGACAGTCACACAGTCTCCCATCTATCAGTGATGTTGTGTAAACACACACACACACACACTCACACACACAGCGGTGGATGAAAGCATCAGTCTGGCTCTTCAGAAAAAGCATGATTGTGTCTCCCTCCCTCAGCTTCTCCTGCTCCATCTCCTCCACTGATCATCATGTTTGTCAGAGCTTTAACACTCAGCTCTATTACTCTGATTCCAGCCTGCAGATGAATTTATTCAATCTAAAAAGCTTCAGACTCAGTCGAAGATGGTTTTTATTCCAGGGAAAATGCATTTATCGATGGATTTAGGAAGAAGAGTTTCAGAGTAAAAAATAGAAAAAAGACCAGAGAAGAAGAAAAGTCAGAGCTAAATGAGAAATAATTATTTATAATTCTGGCCCCAAATATAGCAACGAGTATAGCTAATAAATATACGCCAAAAAATATGTGCTGCCAAAGTATGACGAAAATATTGCTTTAAGTAACAGAAAAGCTAAATGTTTATATTTTATTGTTTATATTTAAAAAAAAAAACACGAATAGCTGAGAACACCATACAACTGGTTGGTATAACCAACCATATAAAAAAAAAATCCAAATTTAGTCAAAATAAAAATTAAACCAACATCAACGTTAATGTCAACAGAGACAACCAGTCGTTATGGTCCAGTGTTAGGGTGAAGCGCCGGACATTTTATAAAGACATTACAAACAGGAGCCGAGGCAGAGTTGGTCCAGACAGATATCATGTGATCAGGTCACGTGACCTCAGAGCTCAGGGCTGGTGATGAACTTCTGTGGTGAGCTTCCTCAGGACATGAGCGACATTTAAAATAAATCTTCTTCTAAGTCAGATTGTTTAAATGTGAAATGATTTACGTAAACAAGCTTTTGTTTTTGTTTTCACAGACAAAGGCGGGTCATTATCACAGCAGGCTGTTTACGTCAGCGTGTGCAGACGAAACAAAAGTCAGGGAAAAACAAAGTGTCGTTCATGCTTCACTGAGCATCTCCTCCGTTTCATCACAGTCGACAAATTATTTGTCTGTTTTTGTGTCAACAACAGTGATAACAGCGGGCGACGTGGTCACAGTCACATGAACACACGAATTAACTGATAGCTCCGCCCTCATCTGCTCACAGATGGGAGAGCGCTGTACGTCTAGGTCTGTGACAGGAGAGAAAATCCAGATACAGATCAAATCACCTGAGCAAAAAACAAAAACAGCTTTAAGATAATGAAGAAGCTAAACTTAGTAAAAACCTCAGACAAAACAGCAGAAAACACTCTGGCCAGGTCAGCTAAGAATGGGAAACACAAACACAAATGACTCATCTTAAAATACTAGATGACAAAATCTGACACAGAAAACAAAAAGTCAAGATGACAAGAAGACAACAAAAGTACAAAAACAAAACAAAACAAAAAACAAAACTAAGCAAAATCCCTGTTGAAGCCGAGGGTTACACCAACAATCCCAAAACGTTATTCAAAACAGACAAAAGTTAAAATAAAACGTATAAAACAAATATGCCAAAAACAACACATAATAATACTAATTGGTTCATTAAGCTGTAATAGCCAAACAAATCCCCCACAGTATTGCACATGCAATATTATCCAGACATACAGGCTATAGATGAAAAAAAAACTCAAAATGTTTATATTATTAAAAGAACTGCATGGACAACTTGTTAACATTTACAATTCTTTTGGTTATTTCTGTGCTAATCATTGCTTTTCTTAATGCTAATCTTAGCCATTTGGCTAACCTCAAACTGTTCCTCAATGATTTTGTCACTCACTGTTTTAGGTTTTTTATACCATTTAAAGCATCATTTAAAAGCTTGGTTCTATGGTCATTATTTATGGCACCATAAAACTGTCCTAATTTGTCCTGCGACTAACTAAAGCAACTTCAGAATAGACTGAAGGGAGTTTGTGTTAAATTGGAGTAGCGTTTTGGCCATACACAGGGAAATGTTTTTAGCATAGAAGTAGTAGAATAGCACAATAAAATCAGCAACCTTTTTCTATTCATAATAACTACGAAAAATGGCAAAAAACAAACAATGTGTCAAACATCTGGCACAGGGATTTTTAATTGGACTTTGTCCTTTTGTAACCTGTCAAAACTGGAGTGTGTGTGTCATGGTCTGTATGTGTCGTGTGTGTTGTTGAGTGTCTCCAATCATTGGTCCAAAGATCACACAGTGCACTCTTAACAATGAAGTGTGTGCTGACAGATGTAGTCAGAAGGTCATCTCTAATTCAGAAAGTTTTTTTCCTTTTTTTTTTTTGAAAAGGGCAGCAGAGTCAGAAAGTCAACCACGGTGTGACTCACAGTCAGTGCTTCAATCAGACCTAAGAGAGTGGACACCTTTCTTCTCTTCAGGTGTGATTGTGTTAAGTGCACAGTCTCTCAGCCTGTACCAAACCGTGGCACCTGGACCAGCCTCAGTCCAGGACTCGTAGATTATGAACTGGTGTTTAGTACTAACAGCGAGACAGGGAACTGTAGCTGTGGTCTGTCCCCTACACAGAAGTGGAAGAGACAATCAGTACATCCACTGCTGCTCTCAGTACATCTCAGTGACACAAAATGACCAATTTTTTTATTTGCTATTTTGATGCTATAATTCAATTGTGTCGATTTATTTTAAATTTCATCACTCAGTCCGAAGGTGTCAGTTACGACATGACTTTGTTTCATATGTTACTCAAATGAACCTCAGTGACTCGAGCTGACCACCGGAGGCAGCAGTTCGTCGGCAGTTTCTGAGCAAAAACAATTCATTTCTCTACAGACTCTGGTGCACACGAGTTGACTTTTCAAAAAGTTCATTTTCCTCTCAGAGGAAACAGTCAGATAAAAGAGCAGAATGTTTTTGGATAAAGTTTGACAACACAAAGACGGACAAACATTCAAAGACCAGCCTTGAGAGAAGAGTCCTCCCTGATTAAACCTGGACCTTACACTTCCTTACACTCTGTGGATGACTTTTTCCTCTGCTGCCCCCTGTCTGTCCATCTGACCTTATCACAAAAACAACAGTCCTGGTTTACATTCCACAGAGAAGCTCCAGTTGATGACCTGACCTTCAGCAGCTCCCACAGCTCCTGGTCCAGAGCTGAAGCTGTGGAGCATCTGCTTCCTCCCAGAATGTCTGACTCAACACTGCTAAAATGGGATTTAGTCCAGACTGTGTTTACATTTGGCTTATTTCAGGCAAATGTGTCAAAAAAAACAAAAACACAGTTATTGGACCTTTATTTTTTTAATAAAGCAAGTGTATTAATATTAACTAAGAAATATAAATATAGGAAAATAAATGTTACAGAGATCGCAGAATAATCTAAAGATTAGAGAGCCAAAAATGGAATCTAAAACAGCTACATGTCGTCTTTTGGATGATTTTATTTCCTTTTTTTAACCTGGCCTTCTTGTTTGATTTGAAGCTATGTTTTGTGTACACTGTATTTGTAGCGACCGTTAGTTGCTGGTCATTTGTTTGAAGGATTCACTTGAGCTAACCTTTAGCTCCTTGTGTGAACACAGGAATATCAGATTGACATCATCTTTGCTCAGACCTGGGTGGACACACGTCTGCGTTACAACAGCAGCAGCATGAGGATACTCACACTAAACAGGTGCTGCCACTCACTCACACACACACACACACACACACACACACACACACACACGTGTGTATATGACAAAACTTGAGCCTACTTTTGTCTCTCCCTCTCTCAGTAACATGGTGGGTTTGATCTGGCTTCCTGACACCATCTTCAGAAATTCTAAAACTGCAGACTCTCATTGGATAACAACGCCCAATCAGCTGCTGCGGATCTGGAACAATGGGAAAATTCTTTACACTCTGAGGTGAGAAACAAAGTATTCTGGAACACTGAGAGCCAACAGGCTTCTCACCACTGTTTCTTCTGATTCCCACTCTCTTTAAACATGACTGACAGCTGCTTTTATGAGCGTCTAGCTCTCACCCCGGGATTCATTTTTACCTTTGTGTCCTGGATGTTAAAGTCAGGCCTTGGACAAATATTAAACATCTATACAAGTGTGTGTGTGTGTGTGTGTGTGTGTTCAGGCTCCAGTGCTGTCAACAAATCCTAAAATCCAGGCTTGTCTTTGTCTGGGAAGCTCGGCTGATGATCTGCTGGTAGTAAAACACTTCAAACGTCAAGGATTATTTAGTTTAAAGGGACATTGATGGGGACAGGGTCACAGAGTGGCTGCAGATTTGTTCAAATCAACAGCTCTGATGATTTACTCTGATTCACTTCTGAAGCTCACCCTACAATGATGCAATCAGCGGATAATAAACACGGCAATAACAAAAACCAACAATAGATAATGAAAGTGGGCAAGAAAAAAAAGTCTGTATAAAAATAGACGCCTCTAATGATGAAGATGATGTTGAAGAAGAAAGGGAAGATGATGCTGTTAATAATTGTGGAAATAAAAATGGTAATCATACTGATGACGCTTAAGAAGATGATAATGATGATGATGAAGATGGTGATGATGACAATGAATGTAGCTGATGGTGATGAGGGTGATGATTTTAATCATGTTGATCCATCACAATGACAGTGATTATAACAGTAAGATGACTGATGGTTATGATGGTGATGAAGATGAAAATGATCGTAATATTAATGATGACTCCTCTGGTGAAGATGAGGAGGGTAAAGGTCGTAATGATGATGATAATGATGATGATGATGATGATGATGTGACTACTCTCTTGAAGATGAGGATGACAGTAGTCACTGTGATAACGGTGGTGAAGATGATAATGAATGTGTTAATGACAATGGTGATGATTATAATGATGAAGGTGATGATTACATTAGCTGATGATGAAGGTTATAATGACAATGATCAGAGTAAAGATGATGATGACATGATGACATCATGGTGATGATAACTACCCCGGTGAAGGTGGTAATGATGGTGATGGTGATGATGATGACACGGACCCTGTTGAAGATGACAGTGATGGTACTGATGATGGTAACAGTGCTGAGAATGGTCATGGATGGATGGATGTTGGTGGTTATAATGATGTTGACGCTGAGATAACAGTGACGGTCACTTCCTCTTATTCGGAGGTTGGTTTGTTGTTTTTCTGCATGTTTGTCTGAGGAGTGAGATTCTACAACATTTGCATCAAAAGCCTGCAAACACTCCTGCTGCTGCTACTATCACTGCTGCAGTTACAGCTGCGGCAACGTTAAAAAAGTGTGTGTGTGTGTGTGTGTGTGAAAGTGAGAGTGAGAGTGAGAGAGAGAGAGAGAGCTCTAAGTGACGGAGCAGACAGCGTCCGCTTCATGGAGCGTGAAATAAAGCATCCTGAACATGTTCAGGTGACTGTCGTAGTCTAAGTGTTTCTCTGTCTCTCCCTTTACTTGTCTTTCAGGATGACCATCAACGCTGAGTGTCAGCTGCAGCTTCATAATTTCCCAATGGATGAACATTCCTGTCCTCTGGTCTTCTCCAGCTGTGAGCATTAGACTCCAAAACACACACTCAAACACGCAGGCCAATAAAAATGGACCTGCTCAGAATTTTTAGAGCAAATATAAAATAATAACAATAATAATAAAACCAGTCAAACGGGATGATTTAAAAATATTATGGATATTATATCTGTGTTCCCAGCTTTAGCCAGTCTCCCTATTTTTGCCAAACTATTATGTGTTTTCACGTCTGACATTCTGAAGACACCGGGTTAATTATTATTACACTTCACACGTTCTGGGGTAACATTTACCCCTTGCATATATTCGACGTAGTTCCATCCATTTCAGGCTTTGTTTTTTACTCCTTGTTCAGCTAAAGTCGATCTTCTGCCCAGCTAAAGACATTTTTAAATATTCTGTCGATATTTTTAAGAAAATGTTTCTGCTGCTTACAATGCTGCCTTTTAAATGAACAACTCTGTGCTCGACAGTTTTTCTATCCCAAAAACGGTGTTCTTTTAATCTGTGGCCTGGTTACCATCACATCTGTATCTCCCGTGTTAAACTCCGCTACACTGTAGGATTCATTCATTCTCGCTATCGCCTTTTCTCTCGGTTCCGCTGCTTCCAGTCGCACTTGAGTTTTTTTATCCAATCATGTTTCAGCCTCATGTGTTGCCAGGGTGAAAGAAACCCGCCCTGAGGCCTTCAGAGTCTGTAGTGTAGTATTGATGGTTTCTACAGACATGATGATGTCAATAGGTTATGGATTTATTCAGGTAGGACGCCACCAAAGGCCATGGTGAGAAATGCAAGTTACGCCACCTGCGTGTGTGTGTGTGTGTGTGTGTGTGTGTGTACAGTGTGTGTGGCCTTTGTTAACCATCGCCCCATCATGGTTGGCGCTAATGTACAATTTTCACTCCCTCTCGTGCTAATGTTCCTTCATTATGATTCTCAGTAATACGCAGTGTCTCTGGCCTCACTGTCACCAACACACTGCCTCACACACTATCACTGTCAGGGACTTTCTGTCAGGGACTTTTAAAATAAGCCGTTCACTTGGTCGTTTAGAAATGTGAAGTTCGAAAAAAAGTTTGAAGTCGGGTTGTGAGGAAAGGAGCTGCTTTTAGCAGGGTCTACGAGAAGATCCACCTTCAAATCTGCGTTAGCTAATGTCATCCACATTTAAATGATATTTCTTCTTCTGTCCATAGAGAAAATCAGTTTGTGCTCAAACAGGGCGTCGCTCTGAGCTGCTGGTCGGCTGCTGTTATACAGCATATTTAAACCTTTGGATAAAAATCATTATTCAGTTTTAGGAAAGCAGCACGAACGGACCACAGGAGGCAGCAGAGGACATGCAGCTTCACAAATTCTCTGAAAGGAAGCTACAAACTGTAAAGTGCCAACAGAGATCTCTATAAACAGAGTTTTTTTCTCAACCATTCACTCACAGTTGAGTCCTTTTAACACTCCATCATCACACACTTTCATGTGTTCAAATAGAAGTAGGCATGAAGGAAAAGTGAGCAGCAGCTAAAGCATTTGGTCTCCACCGACGCGTCTGTGACCCTGAGAATTACTCGATTCACGGCAGATGGTTTGAAAGACGGAGTTAGAAGACTAGGAGGGAGAGAGAATGAGGAGCAGGAGGAGGAGGAAGAGGAGAAGAAGAAGCAGAGGTGACGAATAATGCGTTCATCATCGTCCCCCAGAGTCAAGTCTGATAATGAAGCAGCAGAAACCTGTGTGAGGAGCGAGCCCGAGGTTTTAGCCTTTAAAAGAAAAGCGCAGTAATTTGATCAGATTCTCCTCTGGTTCATTCACAGAGCTAAGAGCTCAGAGCAGAAACATCTGAAGAAACTGACACGTTTCTGTTGGTGTTGTTCTGACAACATTCAACTCCAACTGAAGAAATCATTAGAAGAAATACCAGCCTTTTTTAAAGCTGCAGAGAAAGTTCTTCCAAACGTATATGTATTTATAGATTATAAAGAAATCTGCAAGAAAACCATGATTCAGCTACTGCACTAGTTCACAAAACCATTCTACAATCTCTACAATATGGAACTCTGGAATGCCTGACATTCCACTTCTGCCTAAGCCTTTGACAGTTTTGCAAAATTCGGTGAAATGTCATCCATCCTCTTGTTTAATGCATGGAAACCTTTAACAGCTGACATTTTTTTAAAATTATGTTTAACATTTAGCTACTCATGAAAGATTTTCAAGCAATTTCATGTATTTGACTAAATGCTAAATTCTGGTCAATGTACGCTAATAAAGCTTTAACTGAGAATAAATGAAACAATTTTTGTCTTTAGACTACATTATTTATTTTCACTATAATTTTGTTTAATAAATTAATAATTTAATTTTGTTAATTAATTTTTTTGTCAGTCTTTGAGTTAATTTCCAAAATGAAATATCAGACTTTTTCAAAATGAATATTTTTTATCAATTCTAACTATTTAGTTAGAAATAATCTTTTTTTAAACACCAAATTAATAAATACTGCCTCCCCTAACTTTAAATCTGGTCCTTCAGGCTGAACCTATTATTGACCTGTTCTATTGCCTGGTCAATGATAGGTTCTTTTTTTAATAAAGCAAGAGATGTTCACATTTAAGACAATAAAAGATACTGTCCCTGAAGGATATTTCAGTGACCCGTTCACTGCACAACTGGACCAGAACAACTGACAAATGTTGTTTTACTTTAGCTCTGAAAACAGAAGAAGAAGAGAAGAAGTGTGATTTTCCTCTACAGAAAATGAACATGTCACGTCCGGGAGCTCTGAAGACATTAAATATGACAAAGCAGTTTCATTTCCACTAATACAAAGGTGATAAAGATAATGATACACACACACACACACACACACAGAGAGACTTATGACAGCAGTAATGGTCCCATTAACACAGTGATATTGTGTTTTTTTTTCCTGGTTACAGATGAGAAAATCAGGTTTTAATCAGTGAAATAACATTTCCCAGCTGCTTGTCATCACTGCTACAATATAAATGTTTGAATAAATTAAAATCCAAATGTGATAAAATTAGGCCAACTTAATTTTGGCTCCTCCACAATTAAAAAAAAAAATCTAAGCTGAATGTTGGGATTTTAATTTTGGATTCCCTGTTCAAGCACCGTTGATATTTTTGGCTTTCTATATTTGAGCTGTTTTGGTGTTTTTTTGTGTAAATTATTTTTCACCCAGCTCATTAGCACTATAATATACTATACTATAGGCTAACATTGAGCTCTATGGGTTGTGTGTGTGTGTGTGTTTTCAGATGGATACCCTCGAGATGAGATTGTGTACAAGTGGAAGAGGAACTCAGTGGAGACGTCAGATCAGAAGTACTGGAGACTGTACCAGTTTGACTTCATGGGTCTGAGGAACACCACAGACGTTCTGGCCACCACAGCAGGTGAGGCACGGCAGAAGGAAACCTTCAGGCTGAGGGTTCAGTTCAGAACCGGTGATAAAACAGGAAATCATTTTCACAGTAAGAATAACGAGAAAGTACCAGAAGATTAGTACCTAATCACCGCTCTAACTATTAGTACCAGCACTAATTACAGGCCAAAAAAAAAAAACTTTTTAACTACTTTTGTACATCTAGTTCAAGGCCATTCTAAGACTGGGTTCTACCTCTAAAGCTAGCGTCCTGTATCAGGTCCATGTCACTTCCTGTTATCACTCTTCAGGAAGAGCTACTGCTCCTGAACATATTCATGAATGGAACTGCTGAATCAGAAATCATTATTCTGTTCTGGTAGTCTTCGTCAGGAGACCAAAGACAGAGGATGAGGGTCAGACCCAGGGTCAACAGAGGTCAGACACAGGGTCAACAGAGGTTAAACAGCTCTGCTTCATCATCTTCTCCTCAAACAAATACACTCCTACATTCACAAGATCACCAACACCAAGTAAAAAGAACTAAAAAGAGTACCAGAGACTGTGTCTACTGTAGCAGGATAAAACATTAAGGAAGTCCAGTGTGTTATGTCACGTTACCAGGAAGTTTGTCTACACCACAGAACCGATACCAGAAGCTACAGACGTCACAAGGAACCATATACTCAGCCTCATCAGAACCAGACCCAGAAATGGAATTGCATCACCACCACGTGAACTAATAACCAGAAACTGTAATAGGACCAGGATCTTTGCTCTCTGCATTAATGAGTGCCAGGCAGTAAGTTCTAAAACTAAATTAGGAGTTAAAGAAGGAACAAAAGTGTACAGAAACAGTACCACATCACTGAGCCAGAGAACCAAAGCTACCAGGAGCTGTGTTCCCTAACTGTCAGTTCCTGAATCCCACTCTTAGTAAAACCGTTTGGACCGTGCGTCTTCAGTCCATCAATGTCACTTCCTGTTAACTCCCTGTTATCTTCCTGTTACCATAATCCCAGGGAGCGCTGCCACTCCTGGAATATTCATGAGGAATTATTTATTCAGTGGGTGCTGGTCCACTTTGTGCTGGGTCACAGAGGGTAATTACTGGAACCTGTTGGAGCATCGGTTCCTCCAGCTGCTGCCAACGCACAAACATGGATTAAATCATCTTGAGAAGAAGGAGGAGGATTGAATTATTCAACTTCCTGTTTAATCTTTAATCTGGGTGATTAATCTTCCTGGAAAACAGATTTGTTCCCACACCCACGGGAGATGCACAGCTTCTCTTCTTCTAATCATGTCATTACACGTCAGCTTCAGCATCTTCAACTATTGAGAAAACATCTAACCATATTCTAGGAACTGTTTCCTGAGCCGGCGTGTGTTTACGCTGTAGCTCAGCGGTATACAAGTATACATCAAAGCTGAACGTGGAAAAAGTACTAACTCACTTAATAAATGTGTCGTGGCACGCTGCCAAAGAGACAACTTCCTGTAGAGAAGAGGAAGACCACAGAGGTGATTTGAGAATGTTGTGAAAGAGGAAGTGGAGATGGAGGGGGTAGAAGCAGAGAAGACGGGGGAGGGAAGGGAACACCCTAAGTAAGAAGGAGAAGAAGAAGAAGAAGAAGAAGAAGAAGAAGAAGAAGAAGAAGAAGAATTAGGAGAAGCAGCAGACACTCACAGAGCAGCACTGCTTCTTAACTTGTGGAACATCTACTTTATACCTAAATAAAACTGGCATTCACTACTTCCTGTCTCTACGGACACTGTTAGGTTTAATAATGTTTTTATTTTTCATGCTTTGATTAATTGGACCAGTTCTTGTTGGTTTCCTGCGTCTGGACTCAGATAAACAAACTGAGTTTCTGCTCCGACTCTCAGGAGAAAGCATGAAAAGATGTGACCTTCACTGACCTTGTGCTGTTCAAGACAATCAGCGTTGATTTACTCCCTATTGTGTGTTTCCTCCATCTGTACTGACTGGAGCTGAGTCTTTCTGTGTAATTATGACGTACAAAACGTTCAAAAACGAAAACTCATTTTCATTTACTGAAAACATTTTTTAAGTTTTATTTTGCTCTTTAACCAAAACACCACTTTTTAAATTTATTTTCACATCATCAACTTCAACTAAATCCCAGCGCTAGTCAGAAAACGCTCAGCCCCAAAGACGGACCCCGCCCCACTGTGTCTACTGTGTGTTTGTTGTTTATTTATTTATTGGTCTTTTATAGGGCTCTTATTAAATCATCTCTATCTGTTTTGGCCTAGTGTACATAGTGTCCATTCTTTTAGTCATTTTTAGCTTCCATTTAGATTACATAAGTCTATCTCTGAGCTGACATTTATTTTTTGACCTTTTTTGCTTAAGTATATGTTTATGCTCGTATTAAGCTGATCTGAGAGACTGTTTTGTTCAGTTGGAGCTGAAGGTGAACCAGTCAGTGTTTTAGCACAGCTCAGGTGCCTTTATATTTCTATACTTCATCGTTGCTGACTAACAGACATGAGTAAAGAGCGATGGTTTTCACTGACGATTCTGAACAGCTCCGTCTTAGTTTTCTGCCAACCACTCGAGGCTCAGCTATGTACGGCCCTGCATTTTAATGAGGACATGCTGGACCTGGTCCCTGTCCACGGACCCACCAGAGACACGCTGTGAGTCCGCCCTCTTTATCATAAAAAGTCCCAGACGTGAAAAAACCCAAAACACTTTAGTGCTTTGTTCTTCCATCACAGTCAAACAGCTGCTCAGTTTCTGCTGCTACAGGGAAGGAATGCTGATTTTCAGACTTCTGGAAATCATGTGAATCAATAGTCACTCAAACACGTCTCTGTGTTACCATTCAGATCATTTTACAAACGCATCAACTGGAGAATGCATTAAAATGTCCTTAAATAGTCCTGGAGATTCTACATGCAGCCAAATAAAAAGGGCTTATTTAAGTTAGTTTTGGTAAAAAATATGTTCTTATAGATCATGGTTAACAGAATTCCACAGAAGCCACACCTTCATTAGATATAGAAAACTTCAATCTGACTCCAAAAGCTAATAGTTTTAGCTAGAAGTTAGCAAATCCACAGCTGTGAGATGACTGGAGGAGCAGCAGCTTCCAGTTGTTGAGTTTTCTAAACCACTGAACACAGATCAGCTGATTGTCTGAACGCTGTGTATTTCCTCTGAGCTGCTGCTGCTCCAACCTCGGCTCAGCTCTGCTGCAGGTCACCTCACTGTGATCCATCATTAATCTGACTGCAGCTTCATCACACGTTTGTCTCTGTGACCTGAAATAAAAAGTTTAGGCAGAGTTGATTTCCTCTGAGCTGCAGCAAGAAGACTTAATTAAAGCTGCAACAGATCTCTTATCTCCAGAACATCTCTGGAGGAGCCTGACGCCTACATCAGTCTGAGACACAGAAGAAACCTTTCAGTGCTGGTCACGAAAACACACCAGAGGGCGTGGTGTGTGTGTGTGTGTGTGTGTGTGTGTGTATGTGTGTGTGGAGGAGACATCCAGAGGAAACATCTGGATTAGGAGAGTTTCTGAGCTTTTAGGTACAGATGAGAGGTTCTTAACTAGTCATGATCTTCTGTGTTGGTCGACATCCTCAGGGATGAAGGTCCGGATGGATGGACATCCTCATCATCATCAGTATCATGTTGTGGTGAAGTGCAGGGTGAAGAAGTTTTGTTGCAGGTGTTTGCTCCGTAACAATATTATTTTTGCCAGGTTTGAACTAAGGAAAACATTTGCCATTAATGAGGTTTAATTTCCAACTTCTACTACACATTGTACATTACCTTCAGTCAACGTCAAAAAAATAAAATCCTGCGTTTCATGTTTGTCTTTGTGTTGTCTTTAATTCGTAGGCGACTACGTGTTGATGACGGTCTTCTTCGACCTGAGCAGACGGATGGGCTACTTCACCATCCAGACCTACATCCCCTGTATACTGACTGTTGTCCTGTCCTGGGTCTCGTTCTGGATCAAGAGCGACGCCACGCCCGCCAGGACAGCTTTAGGTAGGCTACAGCGCCACCCTCGTGTCGTGAAACGCCGTGGGGCAAAAAACGTTTGTTGCCTCAAAAGGAGCACACACTGTTGGTGAGATCTTTTCTCATCTTTTCTGCTGCAAGTAAATAGTTTGAGAAGAGGAAATAAAACTTCCTGCCTCTGCTCACTCAGCCGTCAAAGGTTATTATGAGGGAAATGAAGTGGAAGTCGGTGGAATATTTAATTTCATTTCCATTCAGTCTTTGTTCTGACGGTCTGATAGTGGCTGTTACACTGTTATATTTTTGATCAGTCCTGTTAGCGCCTGTTAGCGCAGATTAAAGACGGTGTGAGATTTCGCATTTTAATTTTACTGTTATTTCCTGAAACAGTGTCATGTTTGGGTGATTCGACAGCAGGGGGCGACTCCTCAAGGAACTGCGAATTTTTCTAAAGCTGGAATTATTTCTAGGTATTACAGGCGATAGCATATATATAGTATGCTATGTTTGTTTTTGGTGACTGAAACTTGTACCAGGTACTAAAGTAGTACTATTTGTTGTCTTCAAACACCTGGACACAGTATCTAAAATATCCAAGGCAGCAAATGTCATAAAACAAAAGATGTCAAATTTAAAATATTTAAACTACATTAGATCTACTATTCAAATGCACTGGACTATATATGAATAGTTCATACTGCGTTAGACGTTTATCATGATTTGTCAAATACAATCTTCTTCCAAATGCTCCCGCAGCCATAGTGCATAGTCATAGTATTACTACAGTACAGTAAATGAGGGAAATGCAGAATCTAAGATGTTTGAGCCCATGAATGTTAAGAGCCCATGAAAGATAAAATGATTTATTCAGAATTTACCACAGTATCTTCTCTGCTCTGTCCAAAGCTGTGCGTGACTAGAACGGTGAAGGTGGTTCTCTTAGTCCTCCTGAGGACCTCAGTGAAACCTACCTCCAACAGTCTAGACTCCGGACTCTTCTAATTCAATTAGCATGTATAATCCAGCCCACTTTGCCTCCTTCTCCTCCCTATGACTAATGTAGTCGGTTGTGACCTGACGTTTGACTCCTCCAGCCTCAGACTGACTGACTTCACTGCTGCGGGAGATGATGTGCAGTGTTTTATTTCCACCTGCTTCTGGCCTTGTCCTCCATCACCCAGCCTCCTGTCAGTCTGCCAACATCACAGAAGGTCGTCAGCCACGTCTACGTGGTAATAAAGAAGTTATATTGAACTTCTGTCCGTCCTCCTCCACTCACTACTGCAGAAGAGAAGCCTTGACACAGAGTCAGAGAGTGAGGACGTGACGGGATAAAACTCTGGGCTTCACGTCTCAGAGCAGTTAATGTAAGTGGATCAGCATTACAGTCTCTTTGACTCTGCATTTAGCTGTGACAAACAGGAGGGACACCCAACACTCTTTACAGACTCTTTCTGTGGCATCAAAGTGAAAACAGAAAAGTGATGATGACAGATTAAAAGGTTTTACCAAAGTATGACCAAACAAAAATAAAAATAACTACAAAAACGTCAGCTAAGTATAAGTCTCACACACTCAAAGACAAAAATCAGCTAAAACTGTTTACATATTTAATGCAAGCACAAAAAGAGCTACACGCTGACATTATCAGAGACCAACGTTGCTGTAATAGTGATTTAACAGGCAGGCCCCCCCCAGCCCCCCACCCCCCGCCCAGGGGTCAGGAGGGTCTCAGCTCCATGTCTTCACTCGATCCCGTCCTTTTTTTTCTGCTCCACTTCTTGTCTTCAAACCATCATTAATGCAGAGACACTAACATCAGAGAACCTCAGAACAAAGATGTTTTAATTACAGTGTAAAGCAGCAGCTGCCACTTTAACCACAGTGTTGTAAACTATAATACACAGACTTAGAGAAGAGTGGACCGACGTGGTGTTGGACTAGAGAAGGAAAAATGAGAAATATAACAATCGTAGCTTGAGCCAAAAATCATTAGAGAAAAAAAGCCAAAAATCGACATAAAGAGCAGAGATAGTCGAACAGTTCAGAACAAGCCAAAAAAGAAAAAAGAAAAAAAGAAAGCATTTTAGTGCAAACTGGTTTGGAGTGTGAACTGAATCTAGACTTTCCACACTGTTGTTAATTCATTATGAATGATTTTAGACTATTTAAGCTAGTTTAAACAAGACGTAAACCATTTTTACAAAAAAGTAAAAAAAAAGAGTATAAATATTTCACCTTTGGAAAGTTACACCAATAACATTTGAATAAAAACCAAGGGTTTCCAATAGACAAAATGTGTTTCTATTAAACAAATGAACACACACACACAATGTCTTAACTCTGAAGAAAATAGTGGCTTAGTGAGGTCTACCCAGTAGGAGATCTGGGGGGGAGGGTGATGGTGTCCCCCCTTGTTAGCAAAATGATCTAAATCCGTCCTCTGTGTTAAGCTCTCTGTCAGGGCAGAACTGGAACACT